CAACGAATTTATCAAGCTGATTGATCTATAGTTCTTCAAATCAGTTGGGTTTTGCATTAGGAGTGGTTACTCAGTATTCATATAAGGTTATAGATAGGATCAATGATTCGATTCAAAAACTTAATCATTTTTGAAAAAATTAAATTATAGCATAAAATTTTATTAACAATATAAATATAAATTTTTAAATTTATTAATATAAATAGGTATAAAGGAGAAAAAAATTAATATTAGATCTTTATATTAGACATCGTAAACTATGCTCGATGTACTTTCATTTTTTCAAATTCATCCATAACTAAATCTATGTCAATGGTTTTAACAATTACTTGGTACCTATTTAATTTGAAAAAATAAGATAAGATTATTGAAATTTTTTAAATATTTTAATTACATTCTTGTTTAGTTTTTCATGTTAATGTATGACAAATTGCATAAATGCTCAAATCAAATCAACATATAGTAAGAAAAATCAAAGTAAAAACTTATACTTTTTAGGCTGTTAAGTCATGCATCTTTTACTCTATAGGGAAAAAAACAAAAACAATTCCAAACTTTGGGAAAAAAGAAGGAAGGAAAAAATGAAAAGAAAAATAATTCCAAAATTTGGACAATAAAGAAGGAAAAAAAAATGAAGGGAATTAAGAAAAGTGCATATTGTATAAGTACTCAAATTGAATCAATAGATTACAAGGAAAATCAAAAAAAAAAATTATACTCTTTAAACAATTATATTTTTTAGGCAGTTAAGCAATGCATAAAAAAAAATTCTGAAATTTGGACAAAAAAAAGAAAAATAAATTCCAGAGTAAAAAAAAAGAAAAGAAAAAGAAAAATAGTTAGGCAATTAAGCAATGCATAAAAAAAAAGAAAAATAATTCTAAAATTTGAAACAAAAGGAAAAAAAAGAAAAATAATTCCAAAATTTGGGCTTTGAAGGGGTTGAATCCAGGTCTCTAAAATTTAACTTAAATAATTTAACACTATGCCAAACTAATTCATATAACTAGAATAGAAGTGGCAAATTTATATATTTACAATTTATACTCATCAAAATAAAAAAAATGAGGGATGGAAGCCGTCACGCCTCTGCCTCCGCCATTGCTTTGAGATAAGTGCGATGAAAGTAGAATTCAGCCCCTTTTCCAGTCTACCAATCGTGTAAAGATCACATATAAAGTCCTTTAAATCATTTTTGAAGAAATGCCATGCCTTCTAAAAATAAAAATTCTCTGTTTGGATGCAGAGAGATAATATTAATGAAAATCTTTTCCTTTTTTTAAAAAATAGAAAAATATTTTTTTTTCATATATGTCCATAACTAAATTAAAAACTTCGGCTTTTAAAACACAAAAAAAAA